CTGCAAACATTCTCCTCTTATCAGAAGCTAATGTCCTATAGTCAGTGGACAAATGAGACTGAAGAGAGGTTGGATATTTCAGAAAGACAATGATCCAAAATATGCCTCAAAATTAACAATGAAATATATACTAAGTGTTTTTCAATGGATTTCTCTGGGAAGAGCATTTCTGAGCTACAAGACTTAGGTAAGATAAGAGTGCGGAAAAATCTGAAAAGCAATAGCGAGATTCCTAGATCACTACTGCTAACATTTGAAGTCAAAGGAGGTGTTACAAAGCCTGAGTGAGAAGATGTCCAAATGTAAACGTCTTCCGTATGCGTTACTTTATTTTGAATCTATAAAAAGTGAATATAAATCATAACGCATTCACGTTTGCAGAAAGATTCAAGTTCAAATTTGCATTGTGTAGAAATTGTGTCAGCTGTTCACTTAACACTCACTGAAATATTGATTAGAGGTACTTAAATTTGCAGGCAACTATATTTTGAATGTGTGCGTATCACTGTTAACAGTGTAACCTTCCTAAACATGAGCAAACTTCCCACATATTTGGTCTTCCAGATATACAGACTTCTCTTAAGAAATCTCACCAATTGCCATGTGGCTTGAGGTATTCTGGAAACTGAAACTTATGAGTCTGGAGATGGCCTTGGATGGAGATGGGAGAGTTCCCTCTAATGTTTAACACACGAAGTTAGAAAGCAGGAGACTGACTTCTAGTCCTGTCTTAGGTCTGAAAACTGGCTGGGAAACATCTCAGCCCAACCCACCTCACAGGGTTACTGTTGGGAAAGGAGGAAGAGGAAGAGGAAGAAATAGCTGCGTTGAGCTATTTATAAAAATGGTAAAGGCAGGATATTAATAAAAAATGATCTGTTTTCTCCAAAAAACATGTATTTCATGCACTTGGAGTAACTATTAATAAATCACCTAGATTTATTACTACTGTCTTACTGACAGATGTCAGGTTAAATGTTCACAGTGATTATTATTATTATTTTCCTTGCAGAGGAATCTTTTATTAAGTCACCCTGTGCCATGTGTTTTTGCCTAACTGACATCACTTTGAAAGATACATTTAACCAGGACTAAACAATATTTTCAGCCAGGGGCTAAATTGATCGAAGTTAAAAATATAATGAATTGCATGAGAGTAGTGGATATGACTAATCTGCACCCCTAAATTTAACACAAAAATATTGTTCCCTATTCCATCATCTTAGCTGATCTATGCAGATCTGTAGATCAGATGTGAATTCTTTCCCTACTCAGCAATGGAGCGGGCCTGGAATTAAAATTTTACCAACTAGAAAGCCATGATAGCTGAAGAATATCTATAGATAGTGAATTTAGGTAGCCTAGTTTTGCTATAACCCATAACACAAATCACAATCAGATACTACTGCACAATTAGGTACTAATGCTATTATTATAGTAAATACTATACACAAATACTAATACAGTTAAGAGCCACATGGAATATTCATTGATTCATTACTTCAGCAACATTAACATTGTCTGCATTCTTAATAACAGTAAAAATACTCAAACATGTTTCCGGGCTCAATGATATGCATAGCTAATTTTTTTAACCATTTCCCCTAGGGTACAGTACCTAATAAGCTCTTTCCCATTTCAAATGAGAAATTATTTTTCAGCCTTAACTGCTTTATTATTGACTGGTGTAATAAGGATAACATGTCTATTAAAAGAAGGAAACTTTATTATCCATAATGCAAGTAGTTTCTAAAACCTATACTTTTAGGCAGGCTCTTCATTAAATTAACATTAATTAAAAATGTAGGAAAAATTAGTCCTGTGATTATACCTTAACTTTAAAAATTGTCTAGAAAGATTATATTCAGCTCTAAGTTAAAACGTTTGGTAAGAGATTCAAACTTTAAAAAGCAGACCATATTCTTTAAGTATAAAAGGGAATTTAAATATATTACTAAAAGGATATATTATGAAGAATGATAAGCTAATTGCTCTTTGACATTAATATTGTCTGCAAGTAGTATATACCGTCTAAAATAATTTACATTCTACTACTAATGCTCATTTCCAAAATGTGAAACCATGATCCATTTTCACCATAACAAGCTTTTTGTAAGTTTTTGATTTCCCCCATACATTCAGTAATAATTTTTCAACAAACGTGCTGAGTTTACATTCGCTAATACATATTTAACTCCTAATCGTTTATTCTTTCCTCTAGCCATCGATAAAATAAGTTCCAAGTTTGATAATATTCCATTTCTTTTTCTTTCAGTCTTATAGTAAGTCTATCCATCTCTGCGTATTCTAGTATTTTTTTAATTATTTCTTCATCTGATGGTATTCCTTCATTTTTCCAGTATTGCGCAAATATAATTCTTGCCGCTGTTGTGACATGCAAAATCAAATATAAGCTTTGTTTGCTAGTCTTTTTTGGCATTATACCTAATAAAAAAAGTTCAGGTTTAAAATCTAAATGTTCTCCCAACATCTTTTCTAGCCAGGTATGTATCTTTTTCCAATAACTCTTTGTCACATGTCCTCCAAATATGGTAATAAGTGCCTGACTTATGTTTACATTTCCAACATCTATTTGACATGTTTTTAAACATTTTTGCTAGTCTTGCTGGTGGCAAGTGCCATCTATAAAACATTTTATATAAATTTTCTTTGTAGGAAGTTGACATTGTCAGTGTGTAATTTCTTTCCCATAGATTTTGCCATTTTTCTAATTCTATATTATATCCAAATTTTTTCGCCCATCTTATCATTGTTTCTTTAACTTGTTTGCTTTCCATTTTCAAAGTTAATAGAAAATTATACATTTTCTTAATTAGTTTTTCATCAGAAGTTAACAATCTTATCAAACAGTTTGTTCCTTATAAAATCCATACAGTTTAACATCTTTATCATATCTAGTTTTCATTTGTAAATGTGCCTACCATGATAGATTGATACCCTGATTTTCCATTTCTTGTTTAGATTTTAAATTCCCTTCAGAGTTTAGAATATCTCTATATGTCCAGATTTTTTTCAAAGTTCACTAAATTTGGGTGTACAAATGCTTCCATTGTTGACAACCACCCTGAAATTTTCAAATATATTTTACATTTTATTTTTTCCCATGTTGTAAATAATGCATTTCTCTTATAATGATTTTGAAAATATTTATGGACTTTATTTTTCCGTGCCATCCCAATTGTAAATCATGCCCCTCCAGATATAACAACCGTTTATTTCTAAGAGTTATCCATTCTTTTGCCCATGTTAATACAGATGCTTGATAATATAAAACCCACTCCGGTAGACCAAGACCTCCATTTTCCTTGGCATCTTGTAACATTTTCATCTTAATTCTAGCTTTCTTTCCTTGCCAAATAAATTTCAATATTAGTAAATTTAAATCTTCAAAGAATTTTTTCTCAAGTTTTATAGGTATTATTTGGAATAAGATTTTCGGTAGTATGTTCATTTTCACTGTAGCAATTCTTCCTAATATTGACAATTGCAAGTTTTTCCATTTTTCCAGATTGTCTTATTTGATTCAATAATTTTGTATAATTATCTTTTTATCGTTGAACATCTTGCTGTTATATTCCCAGATATTTGACCTTTTTAACTATCTGCAATTCTGTTTTTTCCGACATTTTTTTTGTTTATCTATAAGGTTTTTAACTATTACTTTGGTTTTTTCTCTGTTTATTTTTAGTCCTGCCATTTCTCCGTATTGTCCTATCTTTCCCAATAGTTTAGGAATTATCTCCAAAGGTTCTTTTAAAATAAATACCAAATCATCAGCAAATGCTTGTAATTTATATGTTTCGCCTTTTATTTCTAGTCCTTTAGTCCTCTAGTCTAATATTTCTATTTAAAACTTCCAGAGTGAAAATAATAACAATGGAGATAATGGACATCCTTGCCTTGTGCCTTTCCTTATCTCAAAGTTCTCAGTATAGTCTCCGTTCACAATCACTTTTGCTGTTTGTTTATTGTGTATTGTTTTTATCATGTTAATAAAATTCTGTCCAAAGTCCATTATTTGTAATTGCTGAATCATAAATTGCCAGAAAACATTATTTTGGGCATCTAGAAATATTAGTGCCAGTTGTTTCCCTGGATGTAATTCATAATATTCCAATACATCCATTATCACTCTTAAATTATTTTTAATTTGTCTCTTTGGCAAAAAACCATTTTGGTCTGAATGTATAAATTCAGTTAAGAATTTTTTCAGTCTCTCTACCATTATTGAAGTAAAAATTTTATAATCCACATTCAGTAACGATATCGATCTATAATTTTTTATCTGTGTCAAATCTAGTCTTCTTTTGTATTAAGGTAATATTTGCTTCTATCCATGTATTTGGGAGTTTAGCCTCCAACAAAAGTCCATTGCAAACGTCTTTCAGTGGTTCACTTAGTACTGTATATCTTGTAAAGCTTTATATAACTCTGCTGGTAGTCCATCTGGCCTGTGTTTTCTCGTTTTTTTTATCTTCTTATGGCCTGTGTTATTTCCATCATTGTTATTTTTTCCTCTAACATACTCTTACAGGTTTCTGAAATTTTTGGAAGGTTATTTTCTTCCAGATATTGGATCATTCTCTCTCTTGGAATTTCTTCTATGTCATACAGTTTCCTGTAATATTCTTTGATTATCTTTTTTATTTCTTTGTTTTTAAATTGTAGGCAACCTTTTCATCTACTAACTTATTTATCATTTTCTTCTCTTTCTGTTTTTTAAGTTTATAAGCTAACCATCTTCCTGGTTTATTGGCATTTTCAAAAAAAAAATGTTTTGCTCTTTTTATTTGCTGTGCCATTTTTTCTGAATCCAACAGATTTAGTTTGTGTTTTATTGTTTCCATTTCTCTTTTCAGAATCTTCTTTTGCGGATTCATTTGCAGTTCTGATTCTAGTTTTTCAAATTTTTCTTTTAATAGTACATTTTGCTGTCTTTTCTGGTTTTTTGTTTGCCATGTATGTTATAGCTATACCTCTAAAGTATGCTTTGGCTGTATCCAATACATTTTATAATGTTATATCTTTTTTGTTTTCTTTGAAGAAAAACTCTCATTTCTTTTTTTCCTAGTTCTATAAATAACAAGCCTTTTCTTGCTGTTTCAGCAACTAAATTATAACAGTGATTAATACATTACTTTTACAATATATAGAAAAAGTAATGTGCTTTCCTGATCAATTGTGTTGCAAAACTGCCTCTTCTGTTTGGGAACAAATCATTTTATACACCAGTGGCTTTGTGCTATATACTGAAAGAGCATTTAAAAAGTCTTCTAGTGGACACAAGCCATCTTTACATCCTCTTGGAATCAGCTCCTATAAAATAAAAAAGTTATTTTTCAAAAAGAGATTTGAATGGCCATCTTTATATAAAATAACCTTGGATGGCTAACAATTAAATAACAAAAGACTAATTAAAAATAACTCAAACCACCAAGCCCTATAATAATCTCATTGCAGAATCACAAATATTGGGCTCTCATCCCCTCCTGACCTAGCTCCTGAAGTAAAATCCAAGTCTTAACAGCTACCCAGAATGTGAGGAGGAAAGAGACTCTGCAACTCAAGAGGAAGGCTGTGGAAGAAGCTATGGAAGAGGCCTACTTCCTAGACCCCACTAAATGGCAACATTTAAAAGAGGGGACCTGGAATAAGAATCTACCAAACTAGTGGGACAGACAGATGTGCATAGGGAAAAGCAGTTCCATGGGTGATCTGGTCCCATGCCATATAAAGATGATAATCGGTACTTTGAATTGCCATTGGATACATTTTTGAGGACAACTCCCAACTTTTTGGTAAATGGGTTCATTTCAAATTTTGAATGCATTACATGGATGTGTTAGTTGCCATGGGAGAAAAAGTAGCTTGCCCATTCTTAAAACAATTTCCCTGAGCAATGAAAACAATAATCTAATGAGGCACAGAGCCCAAATGGCATCTAGGGGAGATTGACACATTGATGCCTGTAATTTATAGGGCATATCATGCTTAGTTATTTCTTCAAAAGCATTGTAGTACAGGAATAGTACTGATTGCTTCAATTTTTAACAAGGCAGAGATAAGAACAAGCCATGATGGCAAAGATCCAATATGCCATTTTTAGAAAATGATATGATCTGTTATATTGCTCAAATATTCGTATGAAACATGCAAACTGACATTTGCTAAGGATAGCCACGTAGTAATAGTAGTAGAAGTGGCCCAGAATTTGTACCTCTCCATTATAGATCAGTCGTATAAACCAATCCTTGGAATACTGATAGAGTTCCAGAGTCACATCTGCTGCATATGGAGGCCACTTTGAATTGAAGACCCCCATTGCTATCAGCAATGGGAGGAGTGTAACATCATGAACAGCATAGAGGATGAGCTTCCTAAATAAAAAATAAGTATAATGTACGCTTAACACATTCAATGTATAAGGAACTATTTTATTATTACATATCTTCATTCCATTTAGGATTAGTTTTCATGAACAGTGAACTAATACTTTAAAACAAAATACACAATCCTTTTGCAAGAATTTCATTCTCAGATAATTCAGTGAGATAGTTCCATTTGAAGAGGATAGAAACTATAAATAACATGATTTCACACAAGCAGAAGTAGCTGAATTAAATGAAGAATGCTTCCACCTAGTAGAACTATTCAAGGGTCTCATGGTAGCTATTGTGAAAGACACTCATGTAATCTATATTAAAAATAATTCAGGCTATTTAAAAAAAATCATCCCAATTTAAAGCATGTAAAGACCAACCCAAAATATTAAAATTGTCATGGTTCTCACAAATCTTACATTCCTCATCTAACAAAAGTTTCCTTTAACCCAAAGTGAATCGCCAGTGTTTTCAATTTTTACCCATTTTCTTTACATCTATGTAATACAGAAGGCTCCATTACACATGAACAGTAACAAAACCAGAAACGACCCCGTCGGAATTAGGTGGCTATGTTAGGAAGCCTATGATACTTTTCTTCTTCCAAACATACACTCTGGGTGAAGGGTCTACCCTTAAATGAGCCTTACAGTCAAGTGTCCCTAAATACGTTTTTAAGAGGACAGCTGTGTAGGCAGGCAAAATAGTCTTGAAGATGCAGGACCTAAAATATTAAACCTAATAGCAATTGCCTAATCATTGCCCCTTCTCCATCCTACCAAGCTACCCAACTTTCTCTTTTACTTTTCTATAACTCACTATTGGTGATTAGCCATCACAGTCTCATCATTTTATTTAGCTTTTTTCTACTGATCTGATTCCTGGAAGGGGCTACGTATGATTACAGAACTACTCAATAAAATTAAAATAGACAAACGAATTGCCTATTCAGATACTTTCGTCTAAGACTTCCCAGTGCAGTGGTCTAAGATTTCCCAGTGCAGAATTTCCCAGTGCACAGATAACACATACGACATTTAAACCCATGGCTTTAAACCACGGGTGTCAAACTTGCTGCATCACATGATGTGTCAAGACGTATCACGACTTTTTTCACACTGCCGGAGCTGGGGTGGGTGCATGATGCAACTGCCCTGTGGGCCGGCAGTTTGACACCCCTGCTTTAAACTATGCCTGGTCTGGTCTCTAATTATCAACTGAATGTAAGGTCCATGTGCACAGATTTTTATTAGCAAGATGTGCTCAGAGTAATAGTAATCTTTGAATACTTCTCAATTATGTGTTCTGTTGCAAGTGAAGACAGGGAGACTAATTTCTACAATTTACATACCTGGTCTTAATATCAGAAGTGGGAGGCTCTATTGCCTTCTTAATATTGTCCTCTATGGCATTCAGGAGAGGACCAACAGACATCTGAAGAATCTGCCTATGGGAAAGAAAAATATTAGATACTTTCAAAATAAGTCTTGAATACATAGCCTCTTTATCAGTTCTACATAACTGGTTTAACAGGTAAGAGACCCTAAAGTAGACTTTAAAGTTATTAGTATCAAACAGACGCTGCCACTCAGCCATCCCATGCTCACCTTGAATTGTTTTTTGTAATATAAAAGAATGAGTCAACAGCTCTCTGCTCAATTAGTTGCATAAAATTCTTCAAAACAGGGAGACTTGGTAGGTCATGTGCCTGAAAAGATAACATTGTGTAAATTAAGTAAAATACAGATCTAAGAATGACATCTAAGTTGAGATCACTAGCATGGACATACCTCTGCATTTTCTACTTGATGTCTGGAGATAGTTAACTAATAGTAATTTTGATATAACTTTTAGGCGATAGCAAAATGGCACATTTCCTTGGCCCAAAATAGAATTATATGGTCAGGAATCCAGATATACTGTGACATATCTAAATATAAATTAAGACTAGAGTATTCAAAAGTAGAAAAATAGTAGACAGGAACAAAATTTGAAAAATCTAGAAATTTGTGTACAGCAAGTACACAATATGTTGCAATATGTTTCCAATGATAAAATGCCATTCACACCATGCCAAGTTTCCTTGAAAAACAACTTATCTTTACTGCATAACAAAATGTGCAATATGTGTTCAGGTATTATTTCCTGTTTATGCAAATGTTATCAAAGCCTGAGCCATTTCTACATTAACTGACTATAATATAGAACAACTGACTTCCAAGTCTATCATTCAAAGATTTTGTCAAGTAAGATCAACATAAAAACTAAACAAATATAGAGAAATAAAACTAATTTTAAAAGGGTTACCTTAATATTACACAAAAATCTAATTCATGTTCATCACAAATGGGAACTGCATACATATTATTTGCTCCTATCTTATGATATTAGTAAAAAGCTGGTCCAAATGTTCCCTTTGCTGCTGTCTTGCCTTCTATGCTTAATTCCTATAAATATTCAGACCAGGAATTACGGGAACTGAAGCAGAGGAATGACATCAGCTGGAGAAATTCAGCATTTACAAACAGGTACATTTAATAATAATAAAGTTTGATGAAGAATAATGGAAATACATTAGGTGGGGAGAGAATAAAGAGCAATAAATGTGATCAAGCATTTATTATTATTATTATTATTATTATTATTATTATTATTATTATTATTATTATTATTATTATTATTNAAATTTCTAAAAAACCCAATTTAAAAATCCTCCCTAGGCCAGGCCCGCTTGTTGGAAAAGCCATGTCTTGAGGGCGCGGCGGAAAGTAAGGAGATCCGGAATGATCCGGATCTCGGGGGGTAGATCATTCCAGAGGGCAGGGGCACCCACAGAGAAGGCCCTCCCCCTGGGGGTCGCCAGCCGACATTGCTTGGCCGACAGCACCCTGAGGAGACCCACTCTGTGGGAGCGTACCGGTCTATGGGAGGGAATCTGTGGCAGAAGGCGGTCTCGGAGGTAGCCAGGTCCTATGCCATGGAGCGCTTTAAAGGTGGTAACTAACACCTTAAAGCGCACCCGGAAGGCCACTGGCAACCATTTAGGCAAGGTACAGCTATTTAGAGAAGGAGATTAAGGTTCAGACTTGAAAAAGAATGCATTTTGTGTTGTTTAAAGGAAGATGTGCGATTGCCTCACTATACTTACCCGTCTTCCTACTTCAGCATTGAGGAATCTTGCATGCCTGATTACGATTTCTTGAGCGTGGCTTTTCCCACAGAATTGCATACATCACTTTAACAGTTGAAGAAAACAGGAAGTTTACCTGTTCTGCAAAAATGTTGTCAAGGAAGAGAAGGAAGTCTACTTTTTGCTCATTACTAATGCCCAACTTGTCTTTAATGTTTTCCAGATCTTCTAAGATGCCTTGGTGCAAATTCACACTAGCCCATCCATCTCTGTCAAGGAAAACAAAGTGCTTCAGTTGCTTCTTAAATGTTGCTTTTTAGGCCAGAAAAATCAATAGTAATGTAGTGGGTTTTTAGGCTTGTCCCTCTCAAAAATGAAGGGTATAGCAATGTGAAATTCACAGGCTGAAGGTATAGTTCTGCATGTTTCAGAATCTGTGTAAGTATAAACGTATTTAGGCTTATACTTCAATGAGGGGTTTTTTTTTTATTTTTGTTTTGCTTTCTACAGTGGCCCTTAAAAGATGCAACTGCTTTAAGGCTTATCAGACAAGTTCTGAACCACTCTTTCTGCATCATTTTCAAAACATACAGTTATAGAAGATACTAAATTCAAAATCAATTTCAAATAGCAAGGGCTCATTTAAGCAGATGTTCAAAGTTCTACCTACATTCATTTAGAAGATTGAAGTAAAAAAAGTTTAAAAAAATGCTTGCAATATTTTAAGAAAATACCAGAATCTTCAAGATCTATCCATACCACTACAGGTAGCCCTTGAATTACAAAGGCAATTGGGACTGGAATTTCAGTTGCAAAGTGATGTAATTCTAAAGTGTGATACCACATGACAGCATCAATCAGTGATGGCAATTCCTACAGTCTTCATTGCCACTGTTAAGTTGAGGATTGTTGAGCACCTCTTTGCAATTTCATGTTGGTTTCCAACAACCAAAGTCAATAGGGAAGTGGCAAGTCCCAGGTGACTGCTGTCAGTTGAAATGTGTGTGTGTGTGCAGGTGGTCAGTGAGACTTGAGATTAGCTGCTACCTGTATATCGGCTACAATCACTATATGGGCTTCATCAAGAATGGCAGAACTGAAGCCTACATTATACTCCTTTCCTTTTTAGTGCAACCAGATCAGTAATTATCAGTTTTCTTAAGCATAGATTTTGAATGTAGATTATGGCACTCGTAAGAAAATGGCCATGGGATAAGAATACAACTGTTTTATTAGAAGATATATGGGTGAGACTTTTTACAGCTATGCAAGATGCTCATCACCACCCTATTTCATTTTTGCTTTTATATAGGGACACTTTAAAATTTATCACTGGGCAGCAGCCTTCTGTATTTTTTTTCTTTCCAAGAAATTCCCTGGGGTAAGTACAGAGGCCAGAGACATTCCTGAAATTAGGGTTGTATGCTAGTTCCCATTTGTTTTGAATTCTATGTACATGGAAAAAATAGATCTCGTGACACATGGAACCTAGTAGCTACCATTGAAGGACCTAGGAACTAAATACCATTGGCTTTCTTTGAACATCAGGATAGCATATGATTGAGTAGGCATTGTTAGATACCATATTGTTACTTTTTTTCCATTTCAACTTCAGGAAACCTTCTGAAAGAATTTTATTCATTTTCTAAACTGCAAATGGAATGTGTGTTAGGTTATTTATAAGAGTTTCCTGGGAGGTCTAGTTAGTAATTCATGTAATACAGCTGCGATCTAAACAGCTAATGAGCCTTTTTCTATTTTGCATTAGTATTTTGCAGTTGTTCTTACTACATTAGTCTGAGACTCTGGCAATAATGATTACAACCATTTGCTGAAGGCTTTTGTAGTTATCTACTCTTACCTATAATGATAGTGAAAGAGGCAAGGTAGAACTTGCTCCATGCATAAACCTGGAACATGGCCACACTCTTTGAAGATCAACTGTGCACAACAAGCCAAATTTAATTACCCATTCCTAAAAGCATAACCAATGAATTTAGGATAATGCATGTTGCTTTTGATAATGAAGCTGTCTTACATCAGTTGTCATCAACCTAGAGCCCTCTACATACATTAAAATTATTCTGTTCAGAAATCCAAACTAGCACCCATGGCTGCTTTAGACAAGGCTAAGCTGCTTTTTGGGCCATCACAGGGTATTCTGTACATATTAAATATTCAATAACATCAATCAAAAATATACTGGCAACTCACCTATACATACGTTTAAGTTGTTGGCAATTCCCTGGATTGGGATAAAGGATTTCAGATTCTGCATCATCTGTGACAATGGTAACAGCTCCTGGGTAATTAAGAAAAATTGCACTTACACAAATTGTAATATCAAAGATATAAAGGATTCATACTAAGATTTCTTGCATTCTGAAATAATATAAAACCATCTGAACTACATTTTGGATTTTAAGTATTTGTGGTATCCTTTCCATTTTATTACTATTTGATCAGTAAAGAACTTTTTCTACTGTTGAAAGTCTACAAGCCTCTATTCCTAAATACATTACTTTGCAAGTTAATGATATATCATGGCTGCAGACTAAAAGATAAAGTAAACAAGTAAAATGCAGTACTTGTTGACATATGTCATCAGATATTTGCCAGAAGTATATTCAACTCTTGCATTTAACAGCTCATACTGTAAGATTTTTGTAAATTAATTTACATCACATATGCTTTGATGTCTTAAATCAAAACCTTTAATAATTATAAATGCTGGGGATACCAAATCAAATCTAAGCTCAGAGGATACTATCTCTCCCTATAATTTCATGACTAACATCTTTCAAGCTTTAAGCCAAAATAACATCATTCTGGGTAACCTATAACTCCTCTAAATCTTGGATCCCAGAACTTTCATCTATTCCACCCAGAATCTGGAATTTATTGGGCTGCCTTTTTTTAGTGAAGTTTTGGATAATGGATTTTGGCATTTTTATACCTCATTTTATGGCAGAATTTTAACTATTGATGGGGTTATCCACCTAGACGAAGTGACAAAATGGGTGGGAATCCATGATGGCAGACATGATATGAAGCAGGATAGAAAACTTCCCATGTTTCCCTGAAAGTAAGGCCTACCCTGAAAATAAGCCCTAGCTTGTTTTTTGGCGTTGGGTCTAATATAAGCCCTGCCCCAAAAATAAGCCCTAGTTTTGGGGCGAGGCACACACTTAAAAATCAAGCTAGGGTGGGGGTGGGGATGGAGATGCCCCATGCGCCCCACACCCACTTATTGTGCAGCTTGGCCTCTCCTCGCCAGCCCACTTCTTCTGCGGCATCTTCTGCAGCCAGGCCTGCATTTCTCAGTCACGGGCCTTTCCGGAAGGCCACTGCAGCTAAGAACTGAGCTACGGATTCAATCCATAGGTACTCCGCTACAGTGGCCTTCTGAAAAGGCCTGACTGTGAAATGCACGCCGGAATGCAGCTGCAGAATGAAGCTGCTCCTTCGGCTGCAGAAGAAGTGGGCTGGCTAGGCCGGCTGTCGGTGCCGAGGTGAATATAAAAAACACCCCCAGAAAATAAGACCTGGTGCCTCGTTTGGAGGCAAAAAAATTAAGACCCGGTCTTATTTTCAGGGAAACCCGATAGTAGTGAAAAGCTTTCACTGCTAACCTTTCTGTTGTTGGAACAGCCCAGCTAACAAACATCGTGCGGACTCCAGATTCCGATCAATATTAGTGGAGCGGACTCTGAAAAAAAGTAACCAATGAAATTAAGCAAAGGTGGCCACTGCTTCCAACACACTCCTACAAACATTGTAGATGAGTATTACAAGACTTGTGAAATTAAATGTGGTATAAAGGTTAAGATGCTGAATTGTGAGGGAGAGAGATACAAGTTATATTCTATCCTCAACCATAGAAACTCATTGGGTGGCTGAACTAGTCAATTTGTCTTTAGACTAGCCCACCTCACAGATATATTTTTGGGGAAAATAAGTTTTGCATTTTTCTTCAATATTAGTACATACTACATAAAATATATCACTGAATACTAACTTACAAGACCTCAGAAGGTTTGTAGGATGATGACAGGAAATTAGTCTCCTCAATGTAACATTTCCTTAGCCGTTCCCCCAGGGCAAACATTTGCTGCATGCCAACTTTTGTCAACTGTCCCACAATTACACCTCCCTAGAAAGAAAGAAAAAAAACATTTAAAGCTGCTCACCAGCAGACAGGAAAATACAATGCTTTGGAAGCAAAATACCTTCAGCACTGTTTTTTTGTAATTTTCTTCATAAGGAGAAAATGGTCTTGGTCCACCAGTGAGATTAGTTACTATGTAGGGAAACTTTGTTTGAGCAGGGATCTCCAGAAGAGTAGGATTCCACTCTACCTGTTTCAAAAACATGACAAAGGTTTGATTTAAAAAATCATGAGTTCTAAACCACTTACATAATACTTCAACTCAATCATCAATGATGGGATAATAGGAATTAGAACTAACTAGATTGGAAAAATTTCTACATCTAAGCAAAATTTAACAATCAATGGAAACAATGTATTTATGGACCTTAACACTGAATATATAATACAGTAAAGAATGTTAAATATCAGGTCTATCTATTACCCTTCAGATACTTCCAATCTTGGCTGTCCTCAACATATTAAAAGTTGCTGGTGGGAAGGGTTCCTTCAGACCGTTATGTTGTACCCAAAATTAAGAATACAGATGTACCAGTCATTAGCATTCAATGTAAGCAGGTGCTTTTCCAAGAAATTTCCTCTGCTCACACACCATCAGTGGTTCATGTCCCATGAAACAGATGCACTGTACAATGCTCGTCTTTGAACCTATGAATACTGTAACATGTTTAACTGTCATTGTGAGTCAGGTCTTAGGATGCCATTTTTTTTTCTTTCTATCAGATTCAGGAGCAAAAATCATTACATCAGGAAGTTTGAAAAAAAATTGTTTCCAATTCTATAGGAAATAGAATTCTCTTTATATTTTATTAGACTTCCTTTGGAAGATGTGTTACTTTTCCTAACTTGATCTGTGAAACAGAAATACACTGTAAATTTGATCTTGTACAGTAAAAAATTCTGCATGCTTAATCATAACTTGAGCTGTGCAAACATGTAAAATGCACGTTGCCACTTGAATACAACAGCCCTCTGTCTTAATTGTGCTGCAATCAAGATTATGGCTGGGCCGCTTCCAGAAAAGGCAAGTTCTACTGTGGCTCAACTGAAAAAAAGGCAACTGTTTCTAAGAGGAAATCACCCAAGCCAGGAATCCTCTTTCACAACCAATGGCTAGTGTCATCAACACAATGAACATGAATTTGGGCAAAGTCAGGGGGACAATGGAGGACAGGGGGACCTGGCCTGCTATGGTCCATGGAATCATGACGAGTCAGACACGACTTAGTGACTGAACAACAACTACACACTGATCTCTAACCAACACCCAGGCTACGTGTGCACCACATATCTAGCTAAACCGCGATTGACACCCAAAGTTCTGAAGAAGTGCATTAGGAAACACAATTACCAGTCTCCTTTACAGGATGGTTACTAAATTTAGATAAATTTAGAAGTTTGGGTGTCAATCACGGTTTAGCTAGATATGTGGTGCATACATGGAAGTACTGGAGGTTTGTTGTTTTTTTTAAATCGCTCCCACCTTCGATACCACCAGCGCTTTCTCTACCGACCGTATCAGCCGCTGATATTCCAGTTGGGTGCGGGAGAAAGAAAGGCGGCGCTTACTTCGCCGACTGCGGCGCTCTCCTGCTCACCTGCTCGACGCCCGGGATTGGCCGGAGGGGCGTACGAGCCCCGTGCCGAAAGAGAACTTGCACCAATTTCAGCTCTGGCCGGCCGCGGTTGCTGCCGTTCTCTCCGTTGCTCTTTCCAGCCTCGGCCAGGACGCTCTTCTTGCGGTGCACGTAACAAGACAGAGCGCCAACCATGCCTGCCCGAGCCCACAGATCCATGCTAATATAAAGTCTAAAAAATCCAGAGGAAGTAGAAGCTCAACTGAAGAGAAACCGCCTGCGGCTTTCCCTGCCTTTGCCTGGGAACGCACCGCGAATCATCGAATAGAAACACTTGCCCCCCCCCCCCTTTTCTCCTCTGATTTACAAATAACGCAACTGCTAGGACTTCCTGAAACAAATTCCCAACTCATTAAAGATGGAGGCGGATCATAAGAAATGAGGTTTTCCTTTCTATTCCTTCCTCCCTCTGCAAACAGCGGCTAAAAAACTACGACTCCCAGAGGACATCAGGACACTTGAATCTCAGGGCGGGAGCTGCGGGTCCTTTTTATTTGGCGATGGTGGCTGGTGCGGGGTCGAGAAAGGGAGTGGAGGTGGGATCTGGAAGAGTTTGACTTTGATTTTAACTTAGTTATAGCATGGCATGTTGCAGGATAGTAAAAAAAAAACCACAAGTCGGTTGTGTATTAATTTAATGGTATTAATCAGTGATAATGCAAAAAGTGCCAATTTAAAATATTCTAATAAGCTAAAATTCTGGAAGTGATTTGTGATTAGTACAGTATTCTCATTTTCATATTTTTATTTAATGAATACAAAAATAAAATATTCTTACTTTATACTTGCTGCATAGAGTGCAAGAACATGTCCACAGGAATTACTTTCTTTCTGAAAGATAATCACAAACTTAATGCTCTTGCGATAATTCTCCAACAGTGAGAAAATCAATGATTCCCCATGGAATCTGTTCACACCTGGACTTATTAAATGATGGCAGTTAGGTAATTGCTTCAGCACTTGGAGTGGGTATCGCCTAAATATTATTAGTTATCAGTATTTTCTAAGTAATTCTTATTTCATGTCACTGAATCAGTTAAAAATAATACTGGAACTTAATGAGCCTTTCAGATTTCCCTCATGCTTTCAGTTAGTAGACTACTGACTTTCCAATGGAGAAAAATCAATTATCAAAAAGTCCATTAATGTGAGGTACTGCAATGAAAGAATGGGGCGGCAGGGAGTGATGCTCAGATAGGCATGAAGCCTTGGATTTTTAAATAGGCCCTAGTTCACAATTCAGCTAAGTCACACACTAATTAAGACAGGAAAATATCAAGCAATTAATTTATACATGTGAATTGTCCCCATAGTTAACAGCTGCTAGCTGATCATGGCTGATTTTGAAAAAGCCAGACAGGGTTGAATTTGGTTAATATTTGGATGGAAGACCGTTTGGAAAAATTGGGGCTGTAGGCTACACTAGGAAGTAACCACAAAATTCCAGAAAAAGGTAATATTTGTGGCATTTTGTTGCAACCCCCCCCACATATTTATGTCATCAATAACAGTTAAGGTGGACTTGAAAGACTTTAAATTTTTTTAAAAAAAATTCCAACAAAAACTATCCAACTATCTAGTTTCAGCTATCAAAATTCAGAGTCTTTTTGGCTAATGGTGCAGTGGTGATGCTTTGTTAAAATATTATTTTCTCCAGGCAGGAATACCCAGAGGAGTCTTCTAGAAGATGACATGGATAGAACCTGCCACTAGGAATTCAGGGATTTGCATCCCAACCTGTCTGAAAGGTGGCAAGCTGAGGGAGAGCATCCCAGAACATTTTTAGAGTCTGTAAATACTGATAAACCTGTGAGGTTCTGCTGAGTAATATGGAAAAATCACGCGTATATGAAAGTTTGTTTGCTCTTGCCTTATCTTAAGATGTCAACACTATTCCTTTAAATCAGGGGTAGTCAACCTTGGCTCTTTTATGACTCGTGGACTTCAACTCCCAGAATTCCTGAGCCAGCTAAGTCCACGAGTCATAAAAGAGCCAAGGTTGACTACCCCTGCTTTAAATTAAAGTTAAAAGAAGCCATGATTTACATCTGTTGAAAATGTGGCAAATAAGATGAAGCAAGCCTTTAATTCTATGTTGTAGCTTTTCTCAGCACTTTCCAGATATGTTGACTACTGCTCCCCCCCTTATACTTTGCTAGTCAGCAGGCAAATGAGTATACAGACCAGAAATATAGTTTAACAATGTATAAACTGCAAAGGGCTCCTACTGCACAGTGTACTGAAATGAGAAAATTAATGCGTACTATAATGGGAATATGCTCCATCACTAATTCTTTTCATTTTGTAAATGATAACCTTTTAAAAGTCCTAAATGACAGAAATGGCCTTCTCGCATGGGATTTCTTATACAGATAATTAGCCTATGGGATTAATTATATGTGTAACAGTGCTTCAGTGGATATGGTTGGGCAAACATAATCTGGAAGGTAAAATTAGGGTCTGAGGATTTAGCTATGGCTCACGTTTCCTAATTCTCTACCCAAGCTTTTCCATACATCTTGGGGAAGGAGAGGGTCAGTTAATATATTGGACACAGAGGTTTCATACAACTACTGATGTAGTGTTGTGGGAAATAAATTGTTAAGCTATTGGAGGTTTTTTAGGTACAGCATTCCCAAAAGGACTATGCAGTAATGTGAAAAGGGGAAATCCTGTCCTGAATTTTTTTTTGAAGAACGAAGCTCCTATCAAGCTGGATGTTTCTGTCATGTTTATAAGACAGTTGCATCCTGGTAGAAAAGATCACCCAGGGACACATGCTACTTCTGTATCTGTTGTCTCCTTTTTCTTAAGCAAAAATTAAGAGAAATTAGTGGCATGGACATTGATGAGAGATCCCTTTTGTGTTTTATTCCATTTATCAGATTATGATTGACCATTAACATTTAACATGATTTCAAATTGTAAGTTTTGATGAAAAGTTTGCATTAAATTTCATACACCACTAGAGGGCAATAGAAGGATTGACAAAGTCAGATAAAATTCCCTTCAGCTGAAAAAAGAAAAAAGGGCCCTAGTATATAGTGTACTATCTCGTATATGTCTAAGCTAAGATATTCATGAACAATATCCATGAGTTTAAGAAACTCATAAGGTTACATTGAGCACCCTAAAACCAGGGATAAGGTAAAGATGGAGAATTGCTTACAGAATATAGTTTTTCTCCCTGTCAACAAACAAGAAACAGATTTATCTTTTTGTAATACAAAACAGAATTACAGTATTTCTAAGTTCTTTTCAAAATTTTAGAAATAAGATAATTTTTCCTCATGGATATCCAAAAATCACATAAGCATTCCTCTTCACTAATCTCTGTTGCAATAATGGAAAACAAAACAAAACAACCCTTCCCCCTTTCATTTACTATCAGTCACCAAACTGAGAGAAAAAAATGAGCAGAAAAGACTTCATCGTTTTCATCCTTGATTGGATAAATACAAGATGAAACTGTACTAAGGGTTTATTTATCACAATCTCTATTTGCTCTTCAAGCAGGATCTGTGAGTCCAGGAAGTCACAGATTTTATGTAGAATTGTTCATTGCTAAGCTGTCAAAGGTACATATGAGATGAAAAAAGCCTGTGTGTGTGTGTATGTGTGTGTGTAAGAGAGAGAGCGAGAGAGAGAGAGAGAGAGAGAGCACTCTATCATTTTAGAAGGGATATTTAATTTTATAACGTTTAAGAAATTAAGATGGAAGCAAAAATATTTTACAGTCTTGTACTACTATAAAAACAAGGGCTGGTTTCTCATCACATTAGGGTAAAATTTGTTTGGCTTATTTAGGTCTCAGAATGTTGTGTGAACCCAGCTATTATGATTAATTTATTTTGAACATTTTGGGGTGTGTCTTATAATTTTTTGGCTGCTAAACACAAAAATAGTCTGTAATTTAATCTATCATGTACCATTTTATTGAAATCATTTGTTTTTGCAATATATATCCTTCAGTACCATTTATTTTATTATTTATTTATTTTATTAAATTTATATCCCGCCCTTCTCCTTGCGGACTCAGGGCGGCTACATTGCACACATTGCACACATAAAAGCATACAGAAATATAGAACTGTTATTAAAGCACACCCAGTACACCAAGTATAGCTGGAATATCTGTGGAGATCAAAATGTAATGTTTCTGCTGCTTGAAATGCAGCTCGGATATACCAGGTATTGTTACATATGTAAATGGGACAGCTGTGCAAGAAAGTCACATTATATTAAAAAGAAATGGCCACTCAGAAAGAATTTGTTTCCAGGACAGACACAGGTAGTACATGAATACCTGTTCACTTAGCAAAGATATTTTTGCCTCCACTTCACATAAAACTCAAGACTGATGAAAAATTTTGTGAAAGCAATGATCAAGGAAGGCAAACTTAAGACAACAATTGAGTCCAAAATTTCCATTGCTAAGCGAGACAGTTGTTAAGTGAGGTTTGCCCCATTTCACAGCCTTTCTTGCCACCGTTGTTAAGTGAATCACTGCAGTTGTTAAATTAATAACATGATTGTAAAGTGAATCTGGCTTTCCCATTGACTTTGCTTATCAGAAGGCTGTAAAAGGTGATCACATAATCCTGGGACACTGCAACAATCATAAAATATGAGCCAATTGCCAAGTGTCAAAATTTTGATCACATGACTATAAGATCATAAGTGTGAAAAATGCTCATAAGTCACTTTTTCAGTGTGGTTGTAACTTTGAAGGGTTACTAAATTGAAAGGTTATAAGTTGAGGACTACCTGTATTTGAGACAGATGTTTCCAAGAATAACTAATGCCAAGATTAAGGATGATGTTTTTATTGTCCCATAGATCAGATATATAATCGATGACAAGCAGTTTGAAGATCTGTTAGAGATCCAGAGGTCCAGAGAAAATTTCCTGGAACATATTCAAGTATGTTGTTGAGAATTTTCTTAGCAACTATAGAGCAGGGCTTTTCAACCTTTTCACCCATTGTACCACTTTTAGGATATGGCAGCATCCGAGTACCATCAGTCACCTAGCAAGGGGTCAAAAACTTGATGACCCCCCCCAAAAGGAAAAAAGTGATAAAATACAGGTAGTCCTTGACTTACAACAGTTTGCTTAGTGACTGTCCGAAGTTACAATGGCACTGAAAAAAGTGCCCCCCCCAAGACACAGCCGAAGCAAGACACCTGCCTGCCCACCTGGCAGCACTCTTCCTCCTGTCCAAGGTTTCCATTGTTGTGAGCATTTCTGTTGAGGATTGGCAGTGGGGGTGGGGTGGG